TGCACCTATGTTGTTATTTCAATCTAATTCTTGAATCGTTAATTTTTTGATTAGACTCTGCGAAGATATTGTTTTTCACATTTTGACAAAATTACAGGAAAGTTTGTCAAATACCGATATGAACGAAATGGATATTGTTGAAGATAATTTTCACAATATACTGCTTGCTTCATCAAGCTTTTGGGTTTGTATCTTAAAAGCAACCGGCTCAGTTGAGGGACTTCATAGCCGACATATGTATGTGAAAACGGTTCGTCGAGCTATCAATCAATTAGCCAAAAAGTTGTTAGATAAATCTATAGAAATAAACATGCTTAAAAATGTACTTGGTTATGATGATAATAATTTGTTGGCATACTTTTCAACGATTTATGAGACATCAAACCTTAAAATTACCAAAAAAGTTCTTCAAGATCTTCGTGATAGTTATGTTTCATATATGAACAAGTTAAATAAGCTCAATGTTTTCTACAAACGATTTTGTGTAAAAGCTACAGATAAACAAGATTATATTTTAGATATAGAAACAAAATTAAATATGCAAGAAATAGTTACCCTCGAAAACATAACAACAAAATTATTTTGGAAATTTCATTATCCGATTATAGAGGTAGCACAGCGTTCATATATTTATGCAGAATCTCAAACATTCAAAAATGTTTTTGAGAAATATTTAGGTTCAAATGAAGAGATCTTGACGGTTGAATTAATTGCCTTAAAATACATGCATGCAACCTTTTTGAACTATGATAGTTTAAGAGTTGAATATAAAGATTGGACAAAACTTGAATGTTCAAAGATTAGTCCATTTTGGAAAGGTGTCGAAGTTAAAAATATTAATCACGAACTTGAATTAATTTCTCGTGGTATGAAATGGCAACCAAAAGATAACTTGAAAAAGGCAGTAAGCTATCTTGCTCATATTAAATCGTGGCGTGAACGACTTGGTGATTTAGGAAGAACTTTGAAAAATTTTAGAGTTCAAGATGTTGCCGAAAGCTGGGTAGCTAATGTGTATAATAGGTTGCTCAAAGAATCTTTAACACTTTTAGAATTGTATAATGCCTTTAATGAAGCAAATAAACATATTCACAGTCTTGATGATAACTGTTGGGCAATGATCGGTGCATTGTCTTTCGCTGGAGATTTTATTTCGTGGCTTCAATCAATAGCAGAGGGTGATTTAAGAAATTTAATCAATGGAGTGGATGATAAACGTGAAGTTCAAGATGAGACTGTTGCTTCATTGATTGAAGTTAAACAATTTTTGGCACCTCTTATTAAAGATATGGTAAAACTTTTTAAGGAAGGAAAATCAACACTTACGGTCATAAATAAATTTTTGGATCACATTTCTAGGATAACTTCAAAGAATGAAACTTTGCATGAAAAAATAACACATTGCTGTTCAAGTAGTCTTGCCCTTCAGAATATATATTTTAGTATATTGAATCGAGGTGAAGTAACT